GTCTCTCACATCTTGGTGGAGGAATTTTGGCCCGCTTTTCTTTACAACGTTGCTTCAGTTCATTGAGGTTTGCGGGCATCTGTTTATGCACAGCTCTCTTAAGGTCCTGCCACAAAATTTCAATTGAGTTTTCACCAAACGTGGCACTGTGCATTATGGCCAAACATCTCCACTTTTGTCTCAAATGTCCAAAGGACATTCCAGAAGTCTTGAGGTTTGCAACTTCAGATGCAACTTTGCAAACCTTAGCCGTGCTGCCATGTTCTTTTAAGAGATAAGGAGCTTTCTCTTGGCAACCCCCCCAAACATGCCATACTTACCCCCTCTTTTTCTAATCGTATTGTCATGAACTTTAACATGTTAATTGAGGCCTGTAGAGTCTGAGCCTGTGTAGTTCTTTTTTTTTTTCTTTTTTTTGCAATTTCTCTGAATTGTATGGTCTGACCTTGGGGTGAATTTGCTGGGACGTCCACTCCAGGGAAGATTGATAGTTGTCTTGAATGTTTTCCACTTGTGAATAATCTTCCTCACTGTAAAATGATGGACTTCAAGTAGTTTGGAAATGGTTATATAACCCTTCTCAGATTGATGACAACAATGTCTTGTTGATGTCTTTCCTCATTGTCATTGTGTTAACACACACCTAAATGCTCCAGACCAGCAAACTGCCTAAACTTCTGATTTAGAGTTGGTCACACTTCCTGATTATCAGTTAATCAAAGGCATTTGATTAGCAGCGTCTGTATAGTATAATAATACTATTGTTGTAATATTAATACTAATTTCACTTTTACTATCCCCCAACCTCGTTTTGACTTTGTGAATCATTATCATTTTATGGATTTATTGACCAGTGGCAATTCCAATGCAGTCTTAAACCTCTTTGATCAAATCACTTGAAAACTTTTACTGAACCTTATAAAAAAAATCAAAGCAGAGTTCAGAGATCAGTGTCTCAAGTGAAAGTTTAACAAATGGTCTGTATCTTGAGAAATTAAGCAGAAATATACTTGCTTTTTGACATTTAATGTGCTGCGAATAATTGTGCATGAACAGAATTCCTCAACAAAAGTGGTTAAAAAACAGACAAATATAGAAAGCAAGGCTACTCATTTACATGCCTAACATACCACTGAACTCATGCTTTCAAGAAACATAAGTCAACTCCATCTACTACATGTTTGCTTGAAATGGCTGGGAACCTTTTGGATCACAAAATCAGACACTGAAAAACCTGCTGGAAAGAGATTTTCATGAAATCTTAGTTTTTGCAGAAAAGGCTTTTTCTTTTCTTTTTTTGGTCTACATGATATATACTTCATCTCAAGACTAATTCAGGGTTTTCTAATTCTTTTCTAATCATTATGCATACCATTTGTTTGACCTCATATAATTGAAAGACTTATGGAATATTTGTACTTCTAAGCATTGGTTACACTGCAGGACCCTAAAATGAACTGATTGAAGGGAAAGAGGTGTTGAAAATGTTTAAAATAAACAATGTTACCATAAAACCTTGTTTACCTTATAGATAAAATCTATATTTTTAACCTGAAAATCTTAGATAACTAATTTATGGAATAAATAAAAGATAGCTATTTTTTGTTTGACCGTTAACTATTTGTACGTAAAAAAAAAAAAAAGGCGGAAACCATGTAAAGGAATAGCTGGTGTCCCACTTTGGGAATGGTTTAGAATTTAAAAAGAGGTAATTTACATACCTAACATACCAGCTCGTGACTACATTTATAGCCTGTGTGAAGCTTACTCTCCATTTTGCCACAATTTCTGTCTGCAAAATATGTTAAGGAGGCAATAGAATAGTGGGACACAGGTCATGGGGTTATCTTTCTTCTAGGTTATTTCTTCCTTCTCCTGGGATATGACATTCTGAGCTTATTTTGTTCTGCCCTTATATGCATTAACCGTTCAAAAGTTTGGGGTTGGTAAAATGTTTTAAATTGTTTTTAATGTTTTTGATACAAATAAGAAACGTTGGAAAGAATAATACTTTTAAACATAACACTAAACACACGGCAGGCGACCGTCTTAATGAGCGAGCGTCTTAATGCAAACGATTCGTTCAAATGACTGATTCATTCAAGAATTAGGTAGTTGTTTATGATTGGATCGTTGAATCTTTGAGTCAAAGTTGAGGTTGAGGTGTTGCTGTTAAGATGCGCTGTGGTTCTGCTGTGATCTTTGTTTGGATTCCGCTCTTTGGTGGTCTCATCTGATCTTTGTGAACGTCTCACTCTGAGCTCCTGTTTCGAGTAAATACTAAGTGAGATGATGTCTATTTCACTTCAGGCATTTCAGAGGTGGTGGACAAATGAAAAAAAGGGTGTCTCTTTATGTGGGACATAATGCTTTGAAGGTCTTCACAGGTGCTATCATGATGAACCCCCCCCCACGGTCACCTCACGTTATCACTCTCTGCCCTATTCATTTGTACACTTTTGAAGCAGTTTAAGATTACAATGGGACACAGAACTTTTGAGCTATAACAGATGTGCCCCTGTCCTTCTCTTTCCTCGCCCATAATAGCTCTTTGAAACATTGGCTCAATTCATTTGAACTCTCCCATAAACTGAACAATGTGTATTTAAATTGACCGACCCGATCTCACACAATGGGAGAAGTCACAGCAATGTGTACAGTGATGGCATATAGTGAAGAACAAAGAAAGCGCCTCTTCATTTTGTGGTGTCTCATCTTTCTTTTCCTAAATAGCAGCTCATTAAAAAGTTCTAATCCTGTGCTGATTGTTGACCAGGTGGGCATTCAAAAGCTTTTGATATGCAGTATTCATCTACATTTGCTCATGCCATTGTGAGAGTTTCCGTTTATATTGTGTTCAGTGTCTTTTTGGATGAAGTGGAAGCTCAGTCTATGCTGCAGCAAAGGAAATGAGAGGAGTTTGATTCTCATGACCTTGGGCTGTTGTCTAGTCAGCTCCACTGGATCCCAGTGACATTCAGAGTGATCCACACTGACCCTGCACTGTCTGAACAGCCAGATCCATGACGTATCTCCACACCTGTGTGTATCAGTTCTATATGGATCTAGATTTCTGACTCTCATCTACCTGTGGCTACTCCTTAACCAAAGAAAACGGTCTTTCTCCAAAAATGATAGCTGTTAAAAAAATATTTCTGTTTCAAATGAATGTTGTTCTTTTGAACTTTCTATTCATCTTAGAATACTCAGATTCAACAAGAAAATTCAACAAAAATATTAAGAGCACATCTGTATTCAACATTTATAATAAGAAGAAATGTTTCTTGAGCAACGAATCAGCATATCAGAATGATTTCTGAAGGGTCATGTGACTCTAGGACTGAAGTAATGATGCTGAAAATTCAGCTTTGCCATCACAGGGATAAAATGTATTTTATTTTTTTTAAATAGAAAACTTATTTTAAATTGTAAAAAATATATATTTCACAATATTACTGCTGTTACTGTATTTTTAAAAAATAAATAAATGCTGCTTTGCTGAGCATAAAAGACTTCTTTCAAAATATGAAAAAATCTTATCGACCACAAACCTTTGAACGGTAGTATATGTGTATTATGTTTATGGCATTGCACTTTCATTCTTATACACTCAGAACTTTCTCTACTCCTCTTGTTTTCACTGAAGATCCACAGCCTCCACATGCTTTTCATGCCTGGCCTACAGATCAGCTTAACATAACAAGTACAACTCTTTGTACTAAACAGATGATCCCTTCTGGATCTTGTCATGTTGAGTCAGCACTTGCAGGTGTCTTGATGTCTGGACCCAGTCAGACTGTCACACAATGCAAGTGTAAGACTAATGGAGTCTATAATCCCTTGAGCATGTGAGAAATCAAAGGATCAGGAGCTTATAAAATAAGAGAAGCTGTCATCCTTTAATCCAACCAATGAGGACAGAATCAGACAGGGGGAATCCCACACCATGTTAACACTTTGCAGACAGGTGGTTATTTAAACCTCTGATGCAAGAATTATTATTATTATATTTCTTTAACGAGACATTGTCACATGGATAGTCATCCTGTAATTATACTGATCCAAAACCTACCTCATTTTGATATGGACCAAACAAAATGATTAAGTGACATTGATTCAGTGACCACATTGATAGGTTTGGTTCAGTGAAGGATTTGTCAAGACTGATTTAAACCGGTCTGGACTTTTTGAACTATTCACATAAAGAACTGGCACATTTGTATGGGAATCGGATCACACTGTTTGCGTTATAGCCCACGTGTTTGATCCACTAAAAATAACTGGTTCATAAGAATCATCTTTGTGTGATTCATACTCTGTTGGCTGTTGTATGTTTATTTATATGCGTTACAAGAGGAATCGATATAAATAAATTTGACCCGCAGTGTACCATCATTTTAGTGTATCACATTCAATACAGATGCCGAATTCACAATTATAACTCAGGTAATTATAAAATCTTTAGACATGTGACAGAAGATTCAGTAGTAACACCACCATAGAATATATTATGTTTTAATCAGACACAATCATTTTTCCTCAAGCATTTCTCCTGCAAAAGTTAAGCTTTTATTGGCATATTCTGCTTTGCACTACAGTCTCCATAGTGATTTAAAGGGAGCTTGCTAGTGTTTTCGGGGAGTTTTAAAGGTCTGAGGAAGATTCTCAATGGTCAGTGGCAGAGGGAGGATAATGATGTTTTTCTCAAGTCTCTTTTGAGTACATGTAACTAAACAAACATACTTTTGTGGTAAACCTTTACACACATATGATTTTTTAGAGTTGTGTACTTGTTGTATACAACTATATGTGGTACGTTTTCTAAAAAGCAGTTTTGAATAAATGGTAAATATTTTTTTTTAAATAACTTTCATCCTCTTTTGAGCCACTAATTATTTGTAATGTAATTGTTTGAATGACTCCAGATCAAGACTTTATCACACTATGACAAACTCTGCACATTTATTTCTAGTACAATCTGTTTTGTGTTTGTATTCCAGATGGGAGGAGGAGGTGTCCAAACGTCAGCAGATGGAGTCTTTGGTGGAGACTTTACAGGAGGTGAGATTTCAGCCCTATTTTATTGTGACTGTGTTGATGTTTGACATCCATACATCTGCACTGATGCATGTCTAGCTTTTAGGTAATTCTATTGTATGGAAGAAAACCCCCCACCCACACTGTAAAAATATATTCTGAGACCAAGGAAATGATGCAGAAAAAAACGACCAGAGTTGCTTGATTACTGTAGTTTTGTAGCATGGAAACTTGACATTAAGTTCAGTCAAAACATTTCATTAAAATAATTAAGTAAATATATTCAACTAAAAAAAGCCATGCAAACTATTGCCTTCATTTTCACCCTCTAATTTTTTTTTTACATTGCACAGCTAAACTTTCTAAATGTTCTCCTTACAGAGTGTTCAGTCGTCTGAAGCATTGCAAGGAGAACTGAATGAGAAGATGGAGCGTCTTAAAACAGAGCTGGTGGTCTTCAAGACCCTTATGCCTCATGATGTAAGTGTCCTGCTTTATCTGCACACTACTAAAGACATGCAAAACATGCAAATATCCATTTACATTCAACAGTACCTCGTTTAAAAGAGTATAATTTGACTGCACTTGTGAGAGATTAATAAAGATTACAAGATTGACTTTCAGGGAAATGAAGATGAACCATCGGTAAATAGCTCTGGCATTAGACTGAATAGATACCCATAGATCTGTGTGGACAAATAAGCAATGAAGCAGTCAGGCTTTCTGGCCCTGGAACAGATGCATATTGTTCTTTACTGTTGAGTAGCTGTTGCTGAGTCCCAGTAATAAAGCACAGCTGACTGCTGCCTCCCTGGATAATATGTTCCTTAATGTGAATGCACACTGTTACAAAGCATTTCAAAAGAAGCTCAACCATCTGTTGTAGCCAAATGAGTTTGGAGAAGTTTATCTGCCTTTGAGGTTTTTGTAATGCTTACTAACCCATAAAAAGCTGTGTAGTGCTGTTTATGCGCAAGTTTCTATAATAATATAATATATAGTTATATAAATAGTAACTGTCAAAAGTTTGGAAACATTACTGTTTTTTTTATGTTTTTGAAGTTTCTTTTGCTCACCAAGGTAGCCCTTATTTAATTAAAAATACAGTAAAAACAGTATTGCAAAATATTATTACAAATTAAAATAACTGTTTTAATATATTTTAAAATGTAATTTATTCCTGTGATCAAAGCTGAATTGTCAGCATCATTACGCCAGTCTTCAGTGTCACATGATCCTTCAGAAATCATTCTAAAATGCTGATTTGGTGCTCAGGTAACATTTCTTATTATTATTATTATCAATGCTAAAACCACTTGTGCTGCTTAACATTTTTTTTAACATTTTAACTTTATTATTATTCATGCAGTTTTTATTATCTAATATTAAAGGCACAGTATGTAAGTTTCGCCAGCAGAGGTCGCTTATTCATAACAATAACACAGGCGCAGCTTGATGATGCCGTAAATGAGCGTGGACTCATGGGAGTTGTCGTCTTCACCTCCACAGCCGATGGAAAGCAATCCGACGGGACTCGGGCAGAAATCGTGTTCATGAATGAGCTAATGTATTAAAGTTATATTAATATTACTGTGGTATTGGTCGAGAGCCTGGGACATTTACGTTGCTGTTTTATTATGCTTATGTGCCGCAGTCAGCCGCCTGCCGCTCCTTTCATTTTGTTGCTTATGTTTATTTTATAATTAAAGTTATGCTCCTCCTTCCCTGAACTTGAACTTTGTTACAATCATGTTTGATCACTTAAATTTGCATTATTTTATTTTATTGTAATGAAATAGCTGCAAGTGCTGAATGACTACTCATACAGGTCACTTTATCTGACGAATTAAAATCGTAGGGTAATGCAGCGCTGTTTTTACTTGGTCAAAACAATCATACTAAAATAAGTTTGAGTGTGTTGAAATTATTTTAACATTGCTCTGTGCGTTTGCTTGGTGTCTGGTATGAGACACTTGTTGCACATTGCAGTAAGCTAGATTGATATTAGAATATCATATTAATAAAAGCTGGATGACTTGTGTTGCTAAATGGCATGCAGTAAATTTTAAAATATATTGTATGGTGGAGAAAATGCTGTGTTACTGTTATTACAAATAAAGCTCTTTCTGATTATGCTATTAGCCACTCGACAAAATAGTGTTATCTCTGAGGCATGGTAAAAACGTGTTACTCGCGGTAAATCAAGAAAACGAGATTCAAACAATAAGACTAACCCGATAAAGGTTGATAAACAGTTGCTCACCTGCCTAATATATTATTGTGTATATATATATATATATATATATATATATATATATATATATACACACAACATATATTAAAGCATCTTTACATGGTTTCTACAGAAGTAAATCAAGTGTAGCGCAGATATGACTTCATTGACAGGCAACGCAATGACACGGGCCACGGGCCATTACACTGTTCAAATTACTGATTTCTCTGGTTCTGAACATTGTTGGAAACATTTGGTATAATGTAAGTACACAATTCAACAAAATATATACCATTGTTCTAGTGGTTTTGGGATATTTTAATCCAAAAATCTTACATATTGTGCCTTTAACTGAGGCTGTGTAGAATATTTGTACTTTAAAAAAAAAGATTTTTCACACCACAGGGCTGTTTGCATGATATTTCTATGTAATATTGCTTAAGTATGTTGTGTTATGTTTTTATAAAGCAAGAGAGGTATGTTTTCCTGTTCCAGTTTTCTGCTGAATCAAAGCATGATGGATTACGTCTGAAATGTCTCATTATCATGCATTTGTGTATAGGAAGTGTCTGACTTGGACACTAAAATCCAGGAGAAAGCCATGACGGTTGATATGGACATCTGCAGACGCATCGACATCACAGCCAAGCTGTGTGACGTGGCACAGCAGAGGAACTCAGAAGACATGAGCATGATATTGCACGGCGGCCCATGCAGAGCTCCTCCCGAGCAGAAAGGGGTACGGAAACTTACTCTCAATAGATTCTGATGATACCTCCCAATCTACTGGAACAGTGTGCAAATTTGGAGCTCAGATTTGATTTGCAGTACATGGAGTTTATACAACAGCTTATCATGCCATTTGAATCTTTCAGCAATCAGAGAATGTGTGTGTGTGTTGTAGGGGATGGCGGTATGTAGGAGGAAGGAGTGTAAGGGTGAATCAGAGGAGCAGAGAGTGGAGACTGATGTTGCTTCTGCTCACTGTGAGGAGGACATGCCTGGTTCTCTCAATATCACTGATGAGATGAAGAGGATGCTCAACCAGCTGTGAGTCTTCATAGTCATTAGTGGAGTGTTTCTCAACTGTTGGGTCGCAATACTGTTTTGAGTGGGTGTGCCGTCAAAAAAACATGTTTTTTCTGAATCGAGACTTTAATTTTGAAAGACGTGAACGAAAGCTGTTGACTCTTCTGTCAGACTCAGTTTAAAGGGATAGTTCTCCCAAAAATCAGTATTATTTACTCACCATCAAGTTGTTCCTAACCTGTATGAATTTCTTTATTCTGCTGAACACAGAAGATATTTTTAAGAATATGGGCAGCCAAACAGGTGATAGTCCCCATTGACTTCCATAGTATGGAAAAAATTCTATGGAAGTAAGGAGGCAGGATCTCTTTATTTAACAGTTCAAACGAAATAATAGAAACATGTTAAACACGCAGGAGCACAGAATAAACACAGGAGAGCAAGACATGCACAAGCAACTTAACTTTAACTAGAGAACAGACAAAGGATGAACAGAAAATGAGGGCTATATATACACAGAGCTAACAAAGGGAACTAAATGAACAACAGGTGAACTTAATTAGTGTTTAACACACACACACACACACACGAGGAAACTATAGTGGTGCGTCTCAATCAGCTCCCGAGCTTGTGAATCAGTATATTGGGTTCAAGAATTCGGCCACTGGTAAGGACAGTAAAGGACGCTGGCTCACCACACATTGGTACACTGATGACTCTATTTCTGGCGACGGGACTACGTCCTCATTGTACAATATTATTACTGGTATTTACAACATTATATTTACAATAGCTGATATATTTCTGACATTAATTGTAATGATTTTTAAGGACATAATGATAAATACTTTGCTTTTACATACATGTGCAACATTTCAGCTGTAAGTAAATGATAAATGTTAGCTAGATTATTCATTACCTGTCTAGCAATGTATGTTTATGCAGCTGAAATATAATTAAATAATGGTTTGTATTTTGAAATTTATCGCGTGTCATTAATATGTGTAGTGAGTTAAAATTCGAATTTCAGAACTTCCATATTAGTGAGCATTGATGCTCCCTGGTTTTCACTGTGCATTGTGGGACTTTTTAGGTAGTGAACTTTTTAGTTCTTTGGAAGTATTCTGTGATTGAGACAGCCCTTAAAATGGCCGACTCCCCGATCACTGCCCTGACTACTAGGGATCTGATTGAGACGCACTCTCTGTCAAAATACACATGCAGGGAATAGAAACAGAACCAAACCAAAACAGAATATATAAGTTATATATATATATCATTTTTCAGGAATTAGGTCATATTAAAAAATATATATATATATTGGGTCACGGCCTAATGACCATGAGAAATTGTGAGTCCCATTGTCAAACCACTGCATTGGAGGGCACCTTCTGATGTTTTTTTGTGAGAGAGATGTTTTTTATTATTATATATTTTTTTAGTTTAGTTCATTTGTTGTTTGTAAGATCATTAAGGGTTTATAACATTGAAAACAAAATGCTGCAAAAGTATAGAGTAAGGACTCTTCAACTGATTGTCTTGACTTTTGTATGATCACTTACTGCCATCTTGTGCTCATTTTATGTGCTGTGTATTTTCCTATTTGAGAGAGATCTTTCATATTATTTTAATTTGATTAAATTACTATTATTACTATATTTATTATTAATTGCTTTAATTAAAATCTGGATATTAACTTGTTTTTCTTATGTTCATTTGTTCTATGTTATGTATTATAGTCTTTTGTTTGTTATATCTTTTGTTTGTAATCCTTTAGATTGTGGATCTGTTGATTTTCCTTTTCTTTTCTTCTCCTTGTGTCTCCTCGTTTCCTTCTCTTTTCTCTTCCACGTCTGTGTCTGCTGCCTATCTTGTGCGCAGAGGTTGCTCAGCTAATTGGTTTGTTGGCAGGCGGGAAACGTTCGAGTTTGACGATGACTGTGATAGTCTGGCGTGGGAGGAGACGGGGGAGACTCTCTTGCTCTGGGAGGATTTCAGTAACTACAACAGTCTCACCACCTCTGCCGCTGCTGGTCCAGTCACCACAGTGTCCTGCGCATCTGACTCTCACGGAGAACCTCAGGAGCAGGTGGGTCAGCAAACATGTTTGGATAAAAGTGCCAAATCATTCAAATGTAATGTCTATATAGGCAACTACAGGAAGCACCCAATTGAATTAAGTTGAAAACAACTCTGTTAATGCTCACTCACACTCATACTGGCTAAAATACTACCTTTATTTGGCTTTTAGCAATGGAAAACTATTTTCTGTGTGATATTTTTAGTACTTTTTTGTAATTATTTAATTATAAATGCATTTAAAATATATCATAAGTATACATTTAATATAAACTTAATTATATTTAATTATATATTTATTTAAGTATTCAAGTATTTAAAATACTCAGTATATAGTTTACTGACCATCAAATGAATACTTTTATTCAGGAAGGATGCATTAAATTAATCAAAAGTGAGAGTAAAGACGTTTATAATGTTACAAAAGCTTTCTGTTTAAAATAAATGCTGTTCTTTTAAACGTATTCATCAAAGAATCTTGAAGAAAAAAATTTTAGCACGGTTTCCACAAAAATATTAAGCAGCACAACTGTTTTCAACATTGATAATAATAAGAAAATAATAATAAATGTTTCTTGAGCATGCAAATCAGCATATTAGAACGATTTCTGAAGGATCATGTGACACTAAATACTGGAGTAATGATGCTGAAAAGAAAAATATTATTATTTTATATTATATATATATATATATATATATATATATATATATATATATATATATATATATATATATATAAATTTTATATAAAAAAATTAAACAAAAAATTAGCATATTGTGATAAAGTTCATTATTTTCCATAATGTAATGATAAAAATTAAACTTTCATATATTTTAGATTCATTGCACACCAACTGAAATATTTCAGGTCTTTTATTGTTTTAATACTGATGATTTTGGCATACAGCTCATGAAAACCCAAAATTCCTGTCTCAAAAAATTAGCATATTTCATCCGACCAATAAAAGAAGTGTTTTTAATACAAAAAAAAAAAAGTCAACCTTCAAATAATTATGTTCAGTTATGCACTCAATAGTCAATACTTGGTCGGGAATCCTTTTGCAGAAATGACTGCTTCAATGCGGCGTGGCATGGAGGCAATCAGCCTGTGGCACTGCTGAGGTGTTATGGAGGCCCAGGATGCTTCGATATCGGCCTTAAGCTCATCCAGAGTGTTGGGTCTTGCGTCTCTCAACTTTCTCTTCACAATATCCCACAGATTCTCTATGGGGTTCAGGTCAGGAGAGTTGGCAGGGCAATTGAGCACAGTAATACCATGGTCAGTAAACCATTTACCAGTGGTTTTGGCACTGTGAGCAGGTGCCAGGTCGTGCTGAAAAATGAAATCTTCATCTCCATAAAGTTTTCAGCAGATGGAAGCATGAAGTGCTCCAAAATCTCCTGATAGCTAGCTGCATTGACCCTGCCCTTGATAAAACACAGTGCACCAACACCAGCAGCTGACATGGCACCCCAGACCATCACTGACTGTGGGTACTTGACACTGGACTTCAGGCATTTTGGCATTTCCTTCTCCCCAGTCTTCCTCCAGACTCTGGCACCTTGATTTCCGAATGACATGCAAAATTTTAGCAACAGTCCAGTGCTGCTTCTCTGTAGCCCAGGTCAGGCGCTTCTGCCGCTGTTTCTGGTTCAAAAGTGGCTTGACCTGGGGAATGCGGCACCTGTAGCCCATTTCCTGCACACGCCTGTGCACGGTGGCTCTGGATGTTTCTACTCCAGACTCAGTCCACTGCTTCCGCAGGTCCCCCAAGGTCTGGAATCGGTCCTTCTCCACAATCTTCCTCAGGGTCCGGTCACCTCTTCTCGTTGTGCAGCGTTTTTTGCCACACTTTTTCCTTCCCACAGACTTCCCACTGAGGTGCCTTGATACAGCACTCTGGGAACAGCCTATTTGTTCAGAAATTTCTTTCTGTCTTACCCTCTTGCTTGAGGGTGTCAATGATGGCCTTCTGGACAGCAGTCAGGTCGGCAGTCTTACCCATGATTGCGGTTTTGAGTAATGAAACAGGCTGGGAGTTTTTAAAAGACTCAGGAATCTTTTGCAGGTGTTTAGAGTTAATTAGTTGATTCAGATGATTAGGTTAATAGCTCGTTTAGAGACCATTTTCATGATATGCTAATTTTTTGAGACAGGAATTTTGGGTTTTCATGAGCTGTATGCCAAAATCATCAGTATTAAAACAATAAAAGACCTGAAATATTTCAGTTGGTGTGCAATGAATCTAAAATAAATGAAAGTTTAATTTTTATCATTACATTATGGAAAATAATGAACTTTATCACAATATGCTAATTTTTTTAGAAGGACCTGTATATTCAAATAGAAAACGGTTATTTTAAATATGACTGTTTTAATTTATTTTTGATCAAATAAAAGCAGCCTTAGTAAACAAAAGATCCTTCTTTGAAAAAACGTTTAAAAAAATATTATGGAACCCAAACTTTTGAATGGTAGTGAATTGCCAAAAAATACTGTTTATGTATTTTTGGGATGTTTCTTGTGGCTAAATACGCTGTCTTACTAATATTGACCATTACTCGCTGTACGATGTTATAGTACAAAATGTATGTTGACTCCTGAGAATATAAATAATACATAATGCATTATCCCTCCAGGATCGAAGTCTAGGTAGCCTCATAAATGAAACAGAATCCCTCTTTAAGACCAGAGAGCAGGAGTACCAGGACACCATCGGAGAGATTGAGGTGAGAGAACGTTTGTGAATGACACGTTTCAGCTGATATTTACTTGAGTTCAAAAACCGCCATCTTCCTCCTGCAGCTGGAACTGGCCACGGCTAAGAGTGACATGAACAGACACCTGCACGAGTACATGGAGATGTGCAGTATGAAGAGAGGACTGGACGTACAGATGGAGACCTGCCGGAGGCTCATCCAAAGCACAGCCACCACCGGCAGGTTGGTTTAATCGTATTTGAGTTTTAGCAAAACTTTAAAGTCAGCATGAAATGGAAGTTGTGGTAGACTTTTCTTCCCTATTGTGACGTATATCCAAGTGAAACGGCTTCTCGAACAAGAAAAAATGTAGGGCGGGACTTAATTTTGTCCATTGGGAATTGTTTGGACGGTTGTGGTTTGCTATTGCTGTGATGTCATGTGAGTGATAGGTTGTCCCGCCAGTAAACACATCATCAGAGAAGAGAAGTCACTGCAAGAGTGAGGGGAAGTTATTATGATTAAAGATTTTGAATTGTCCATTTTGATTTAATGGTGACTTTAAAATGAATCCAAACTGAGAATGTAAAGTAAAACAGTATGAATCTCCACAAAGGCTTTTAATGATTTATGTTCATGTCCTCTGTTTTCCAAATGCAGACAGTCGCCCTCCTTCAGCTCTGTGGCCAGCAGCGATTCAGGAAACACCGATGACATCCAGGATGAGCTGGAGCCTGATGGAGAGAAAGAAGGGGCGGTAGAGATGAATGGAGAAGTTAGATGATGATCAGCCCTGTGTCTTTCTGGTTTCTCAGCTTCTTTGTGAACCAGTCACTCTTTTAAGTCTCTGGTCACCTTTTCTTACACAGTATGGATGAGTGTGGGATTTCAGATTCCCAAAGAGTAAGTATTGGTGCTTTATATGCTGTCTTAAGTCAGGACTAGCTGTGCCCTCTTCATCAGCACTGCCAAGGCATGGCTCCATAGTCTTCCTCACTAGCTTTAACTAATGTCACACTCTTTACAGTGTGATGAATACCATATATAATAATGCATATTATTATAAATAATATTATAATAATATATTATCATATAATATTGTAACACTTTACAATAAGGTTTCATTTGATAACATTAATGTGAACTAACAATGAACAATACTTCTACAGCATTTATTAATCTTAGTTAATGTTAATCTGAGCATTTTTAAGATCAGTCTGTTAAGTAAGGGATAATGTACATCCAGCTGGTTGTTACCTAAGAATCACCCTGTCAGGGGTTTATTCTGAGATAACAACCGACTGGATGTACATTATCCCGCTTATTACATGTCTACTTGCCACATAAGTAAATAATTAGACACGAAATATTGATCTTCGTTGAAATATTTTATCAGGTCTTTAAACGCAAAGCTTCCGCGGAGAGAGCAGTTGCTAGCGCTGCAAGTTCAAACTGGACGGACATTTAAGACATTTTTTTTAAGTAACATCAACAAAGTTATATTAATAAATGCTTTAAAAATGTATATTGCTCATTGTTAACTGATGTTAACAAATGAGACTTTGGGCCCTATCATACACCCGGCGCAATGCGGCGCCATGAGCGACTCAAGGTTTTTTTTGCTAGTTTCAGCCCGACGCAGTTATCATTTTCATGTCCGGTGTCAAGGGTTTTTTGCTAGTTTCAGCCCGACGCAGTTATCATTTTCATGTCCTGTGCCACGTTGTTTAAATATTTGTGGGCCCATGGGCTGCTGGTCTGAAAACGAGGTGTGTTCAGGCGCATTGTTGGCGTGTTGGTATTTTGAGGCAACTGAAATAGAAGGCGCAATATTTTTTTGTTATTTAAACGCATTCGTAATGTGCGCCTATAGGCGGGTCCACAACGCGCATACACTTTGTCCCGTAGATGGTCTGTTTCCTCTCTGGAGAAGCGTTTCGTTTTTCCGCTTACAAATTCCGCCATGTAAATAGCGAATCCGCCATGGCACGAGCGCAAATGGATTTTAAAGGGAATGGGAGATGAGACTCTGATTGGTTTATTGCATGTTACGCCCAAAACACACCCATTACTCATTAAGAGAATAGGGACAACCCTTAGACCATGCGCTGGGTGCGCCGACCATTTTTCCCGTTATTAAACTAGCAAAAGTGGATTCGGACACGCCCTACAGCCTGTGCAGTTGCGCTGTGCACTTTAGACCATGTGCTTAGATCATTAAAATAGGGCCCAAAATTGTAAAGTGTTACCTATAATATAAATATTATGATAATATATTCAATATAAATATTATTTATTAAATGCATAATTTCTGCTATCTTGCTCCTTTGTTTACATGAATCTAAAAGGCAAGTTACACACCCATCAGTTTAAATATCACAGATTAAAACACATTATAGAGGAAAGTATTCTTCTACATCGAGCTCTGGAATACATTCAGGCTTTTAACGTCACAATAGTCAGTAGATCAGCCATGCGGTATACTTCACAAAAATATCTGAGCAATTATCATGAAATATCTCACCAGTTCAGATGTTTTCACCATATAAAACTGTTGCTCAACTAAACCACCGTGCACTAAGATCTATGCAATAATCTGGACTGATGTTACATTCTGTGATTCTTTTAGCCGGAACCAGATTCAGTATGTGTGAGTTGATGATTCTCCTTAAGTGCAGTTTTGCCTTTGTTTCTTTGTATTGTCTCTTTCAGTTTTGGAGAGTAGCAGTAAAACCCAAACTCATGTGCCTACAAATATGCTGTACACTGTCTTAGTTGCCTTATATTTTTCTCTGAATATATTAAGTACATGCTTTGCTCTGTTATAGACCATTAAATCCTGACCTGAATCATATCTTTAGTACAGATGATGACATATAATTAGTGTCTAAGATGTTAAATGGTGTGACGTGAGATTTTTGGATGATCTCAAGATTTAGAAGCCATACTATATCTGTCCTCAGGTGTTGAAAGGTTTGGTCAAGCTGCAAAATAGATACTGAAAACTTTGCGATTACGTTTAGTTCTGTGTGTGGGTCATTCTCATGAAAATGTGCTATTTGTGCATTTGTTCCGTTTGAAAAAAAATATTTAAAGATTAGATTTAAAATACCAAGTATCAAAGTGCATATGCTAACCCTAAGGCACTACATTATTTCAACCACATTACAGCAAACTGATGTACTTATAATAGAGAGTAGATTCTGTATGTTTAGTATAACTCGGTGTCATTGTGACTTGAAATACATTTATAACATTTAAAAACATAACTATTATAATAATAATGTTTTGTCCGAAAGGGAAAATGTCACAAGACGCAGAGACAAATTCTACATTTCTCAGAAAATGATAATTACATTTCAATAAAATAAAGGTCTTTTTTTACAGTATAGTAGTGATAAATGGGGACCTGTAATTGTCAAACAAGCATTAAGAATTAAAATTGTTTTATTTCAAATAAAAAATTATATATTTGCATTACAAACAGTCAAATGAATTGTTTAATGGGACTAAGTCATGGGGAAGCACACTAATGACATCACTCCCTAAGAATGACCCACACACTATCTCCTCCCCTCCCACAAAATATGTTTTTGGCTTATTCAAGAGGTGGTTTATAAAATAGAAATGATTATTCATTATTTATTTATTTTATTGTACAATGAATAATTAGGTTTATAAACTAAAATTATGTTCATATTAGCATATTACTTGTATTGCTTTTATTATGTTTGTTAATTTTTTTTATTATTATTATTGCTTCTGTTTTATTGTTACATAAACATTAATGATTAATTGCTTTTAAACAGTATCTGGGTGATAGAGGTTAAGTTTTGCTATTATTGCCTTTTTTAATTATTGGAAATGAATCATTCCGTATTTTATAGTATCCTGATATGGTCATTCAGATGTTGTATGTTGATACAATTTATGATTTAATATTTGCCTTAAATATGGGCCATTCTAATAAATTGTATTAGTTTGTGCTGTATACTAAATAAATAAGCTGACTGATATTGAGCTGAAAACAGCATGTCTGGAAATTTAGTTTGTTTTTGGAAATCTGGAGGACTATGCAAGTCTTATGTAGTTGTACTCTGATTTTATGCTGGTTTTAAATAAATAAATAAAAAAGTTTGCCTTTTCATTCTTTAATGAGACTATTTTTCATCCAAAACCTTTCGATTCATCTTTGCAGCATGCAATGTTTATTATATAATTATTTGTGACATGAATGTACTTTAAAATTTCCATGTGAAATCTGTTGGGAAGTTCAGTTTTGCATGATTGAGCAATTCTCACTTATTTTACATGAATTTGCCTGTCGCTTTGGTGTCGAGGTTGTGTTTTAACATATCTCTAGAAGAGAAATGAAAACTGTGGTCTATTTTATAGGTCAAAGTTCTGGGAAAAAGATATTGAGACAGGCAAATCCATTCCAACTGGTTCAGGCGGTGATACACAATCACTCTTCTTCAGAAATACAGCTTTGTTTTGCCATCATTATAGTGTCACATTCTCTTAAAGGGATAGTTCACCCAAAAATAAAAATTCTGTCATCATTTTGGGGTGAACTATCCCTTTAACAGCAGAAGACTATAATGTTTAAAGATAACTGTTTTGAGACAGTTTTTATCCATGATGTTAGATGTTTTATCAACAGACTGTATTCATATTACAGCAAAAGTGTAATTTTCTCCTGTCAAACTATAATAACATTGTTGGATATGTAATAGCATCCTAGTTAGTGCCCTAATCTGATTATTTTTTTAAAACACAGATTCAGGAACTAGAACATACTATTCTGCTATTGCTGAAGCTATATTCATTGAGGGAGCAAATATCTAATGAAGACACACACAAAAAAAAAAGTTAACTCCAGCATCACATTTGCCTATGTGTGCTTTTACTTACAATCGCAATATAAACATTTACACACTTTGGTAACATATTTCCCCAGGCAAATGCATTCTCCGTGGTAATTACATATAACATGCAAATCCTTGCCACCAACAGAGTGTGGAGAAACAGCGGGCTGGTGTGAAAAGAGTGTTTATAAGCACAAATGTATCTGAAGAGCTCATATCAGAGGTAGAATGGGTAAGATGTTGGTCTGGTTTGTGTTTCTCTCTCTCTTGAGCTTTAGTGACACTGGAGGTCTTCACCTTCAAGGGGATTATATCATCTCTGGCTGGTTCCCTCTCCATAATTCAGAATCCACCATCCCATCGACACCTTACCTGACTGACTGCACACAGTAAGAATGAGCCTATTAGAACAATCTGATAATGTCATTTTATTGAACTTTGCATATTCCAGTTGTATAATACCAATGAAAAAGTCAGCGTTTTGCATGTAGGCTATTTTATTCTCTTTTGATCCATGAAAAAAAAAAAAAACCTTTTTCACAAAATTGTTGTGCCGATAATATAATTTGCCATTTAAAAATTGTATTTAAAAAAGTAGTAAAATAGTACTCTCAGACATTTTACCACACTGTACAGAATGTAAACAACTCTTGTCTGCAATTTTTATTCCTAGAGGCTTGATCAACAAGCATGGCTATCATCTGGTGCAGGCCTTCAGATATGCAGTGGACGAAATTAACAACGGCACTCAGGATAAGCAACTCCTTCCAGGGGTCACGCTGGGCTACCGGACATATGACTTGTGCTCCCTCCCAGCCAGCAATCTGGCCACCCTGGATTTGCTGACCCAGCAGCACCACAGTTCAGTTGTCAACAGCCGCTCTGTGGCCATCATCGGCCCTGACAGTAGTTCCTACTCTTTTACACCAGCCGGTGCTCTTGGTGCATTCCTGGTGCCTCAGGTACAGGGTCACAAGGTTCAAGCCGCTTCAGACAGCGCGCCAGTGCCACATTAAGTTCTCAAAATGAACGTAAAGAGTTAAAATAGGGGATCTGCGTCGTGTGTCAGGTCTTAAACTGACAGCTGCCTACTGTCTGTCATTTAATGTTAATCAAAGAACAAAAGACAAAGAGAAAATCACTCCCTGCTCTTGACTGAATAACTTTTGAGGCTTTAATAAGGATTAATCTACATTCGATTTATGATTTATGCAGTGAAGTCTGTGCAGTGTTTGATTATTCAATTTCTGTCTATTTAGGACCTGTCAGGCCTACCTGAAAATCTTAAAGCACTGTTTAAAAAGTTATGTGGGTCAAAAACAACGAAAACAATAACTTTTTTGTGCATTTTAGCAGGGCAGGTAAAAATCTGAACTGGCCCGACTGGGAAAACCTTTGTGTTGAGTCCTGATATAAGGCACATGTGACATTCATTACAATAGGTTTATGTAGATTGTTTTAAGTTCACAAATTAAGTCGTTAAAGCCTATTAAATGTTAAAATTGATAGCTTTCAATCATACTGTTATGTTGAATTGCTATAATTAATGGCTAAAATTGAGGGGGGAAATCCATTTAATAGAGACATCATCAGTAGCCTACTGCACTGGTGATACTGACCTTCATTCATAGTGCTTCGTATAAAAAATACCATTAAACAATTATTTAACTGATACCGTCTTTTTGTTGTTTCTATATTATTTTGGAGGTTCAGTGTGAAAGTTTTACAATATAAAAATGTATAAAAAGCGTATATGTTAGGTGTTAACATAAGTCACAATTAATTCCAGAAAAATGTGCGATTAATTAGTTAATTTTTTAATCGATTGACAGCACTTTATATATAACATTTATATATTTGTATCCATTGTATAATAAATGCTGCATAAATTAAATGTATATAAATTATGTATAATTTTATACATTCACGTTTTTTTTCTTTGGTATTTGTAGATCTCCTACGAGGCCACAAACGAATTGCTAAGCAACAAAATTCTCTATCCAGCTTTCTTCCGCACCATTCCCAGTGACAAGAACCAAGTCAGTGCAATGATACAGATTCTGGTCAGATTTAACTGGACCTGGATCGCCATTCTCGGTAGTGACAACTCATACGGTATTCAAGGAATGCAAGGCCTTTCCCAGCAAGCTTCACTTCACAATTTATGTATTGCATACCAAGCCCTGATACCCGCTGTAACTGACAAGACGAAACAAAACATGCAAGACATGGTCAAAAACATCATCAAAACCAAAGTCAACACTATAGTTGTCTTTGCCAATAAGAGGCGGGCCGCTGGCTTCTTTCCTTTTGTTATCGACCAAAACGTGACGGGTAAAGTGTGGATTGGGACAGAGGACTGGTCGGTGGCGTCAACAGTGAGTAGCATCCCAGGGATCAGTACGATAGGGACTGTCCTCGGTGTCGCAGTCAAATATACTGAATTCAGTGGGTATGAAGATTTTGTGAGGCTTTCTGTGCCTGGACTTAAAGACATTGGTCTAAACAGTTCATTCAACCTCAACGTCCCATGTATGCAAAATACAGACCTTTATGATATGGCGATAAAAGGCTTTTCTTTGTCGCAGTATGACATCGTTTCCTCCTTTAACGTGTATAAGGCCGTGTACGCAGTGGCTCATGCGGTGCACAACATCCTGCATTGTGACTCTGGACTATGTCAGAAATATAAGGTGCAGCCATGGGAGGTGAATGCTTTTAGATTTAAATCACTGAAATAATAATATAGCACACATGCAGTGTGTGTTGTGAATAGTGTTGAACATCATTACACATTATATGATTTTCTTTAAACCCCACAGGTATTTCAACAGCTGAAACAAGTTCAGTTTTCAATTCGAAACACATCATTTTATTTTGATAAGAATGGAGACCCTCCTACAGGTTATGATATTGTGACATGGCTATGGATGGATGGCCAGTGGTCATTTAAAGTGGTGGGAAGTTTCAGTCCCAGTCCGACTGATCTTCAGTTAGACGCCTCTCAGATTCAATGGACAGGGCAGGTGTCTCCTGTAACCAAGGTAAGTCTGTATCTTTCCTTATATGCATTATGCAATTTCTTGGCCCTGTATAACATATGACTGTTCAAAAGATTGGGTCAGTATGTTTTTTTTTTCTGTTTGAAATAAATAATTTAATATTTTTATTCAGCAAGGATACATAAATTGGTCAAATGTGAAATTAAAGACATTCATGTTACAAAAGACTTCTATTTCAAATAAATTTGTTATTCATCCTGGAATTTTTTTTTATCATGCTATCACAAAAATATTAAGCAGCACAACTGTTTTCAACATTGATAATAACCTGAAATGTTTCTTGAGCATCAAATCATCATATTAGAATGATTTCTGAAGGATCATGTGACTGAAGACTAGAGTAATGATGCTGAAAAAATCAGCTTTACCATCACAGGGATACATTACATTTTAAAATATATTAAAATAGAAAACAGCTGTTTTAAATTGTAATATTTCACTATATTATTGTTTTTACTATATTTTTGATCAAATAACCCAAACTTTTGAACAGTAGTACATGCTTCCCAACTGTTTTCCAACTTCATCAGCTTCTATACACAAACAAAAGCAGTGGCAAATAAATAAATAATCATGATAAAAATGAAATTATCAGATAGAGTGATAATAATAATACACTGTAAAAAAAAATTATATCATCAATAAGTTATGACATGTAATTACAATGTAATTTAAGTTGAAATTACTTCAACATCAAAGTTGATTGTAATTTTTTTTAATAATAATATTTTTGCTCTGTCCAGGTTCCCGAGTCAATTTGTTCCCCAGAGTGTCCCTACGGACACAGAAAGCTCATGACCGGACAGCATAAGTGTTGTTTTGACTGCATGGCATGCCCTGCTGCCACCTTCCTCAACAAAACTGGTACAAAAACACCCCAAATATCATATAATTATCAAGTACAAGTATATACAGTACAGTAGTTAATGGAGGAAACTCGATCAGAATGACCAGACACAGGATGTCATTCACAGTATGTCCAGCAGATGGCACATTTTCTTCAGTTATGACTTCTATGTTTGCTTTTAATCCCCTTAAAGCTAAAATACTTTCTCAAATCCCAGCTTTTGCATAGATACGTATTAGTATTCCATTTGTAATTGGGTTTCCTCCAATAGTGTAAACACTGTAGCCCTAGGACACTAGCAAAACATTCCTCTGTTAGTTTACCCAGAGAATGCGAAATATACATCCATTTCACATTATTAATATATTCTGTATGGAGCCTTGTTATGAAACATTTTGAAAGCTTCTTATGCTCACTTAACTTGTGTCATCATAGGTTACACTAGCTGCCAAGCGTGTGCCAAAGATGACTGGTCTGAAGCAGAGAGTGAGACATGTGAGAAGAGGGCAGAGCTGTACCTGTCGTGGGGCACTCCGCTCACTACTGCCCTGCTCATATACCTGGGTGTGACCCTGTTCCTCACCCTGGGCACAGCTCTCATCTTCCTGTTTAACCTCAGTACCCCTGTGGTGAAGTCGGCCGGAGGGAAGACCTGTCTGCTGATGTTGGCGTCTCTGACCGTTGCCACCTCCAGCACACTGTGCCACTTCAGCAGACCGTCCCGCACCGGCTGCCTCCTCAAACAGCCGCTCTTCATCATCAGCTTTACCGTGTGCCTGGCGTGTGTGACTGTGCGATCTTTTCAGGTATGTTTGGCCATGTTGTTGAGGTAGTGAAGAGGTTAATGGCTTTAGCTGATTTACCCTTTAACATTTCATTTCTGTCTGGCGGCTTCAAAATGTATTTGGACACTTAAGTTACCTTGTTGAATGTGCATTAAATAGCAAACCCGGTATTTGTTTTAATGAAAGAGAGCACACAAACATTTAGCAAAAAGATGTTGGTGAAATCAGTGTTGTGTCTAAGTCAAAATATTAACAAATTCTGAGTGAAACAGTTGATATACTGTTCAAATTGATCTACTATTAAATATGAGGGATGCACAATAATAAAATTCTGGCCTATGCAATAATATTTGTCCAAGTTAAATACGATAAATAGCAGTTATTAAAATAGTATACTTTGTATTTTGTGTAAATATAAAAAAAATTATATATATAGGCTATGACACAATGTTGTGATGCCTTAATTCATATATATATAACAAGTGGTTTTAAATGCTACAAGTGAATTAAGGCATCACAACATTAAAATGTCCAGTTTGAAGCATTAATATTTGTTTTGAGATTTGCCAAAAATTACATTAAACAGCGAGCAACAATAAGGTCTAATGCATTAACTAATGTGAACTAACAGTGAGCAATATATTTTTACAACTTTCATTAATCTTTAATGTTAGTTGATACAAATACTGTCGTTTATTGTTTGTTCATGTTAGCTCACAGTGCATTAACTAAAATTAGCAATTACAATTTTTGTAGTTAACTAGTTGACTAATAAAATGAAAGCTTATTGTATGTGTTACCAAACAGTGTTATTAAATTATTATTATTAAAGGAGACCTGTTATGCAAAATTCACTTTTACATATTGTTTGAACATAAATGTGTGTTGACAGTGTGTACACAACCAGCCAATAATGGTAAAAATCTGCCCACTCCTCTTTTTTTAATCCCCATAAATCATAAGCAGTGTCTCAGAACAAGATTCTGGTGAGCAGCGGCACATTTGCATTTAAAGAAACATGCACGAAAACAGCATGTTTTTCCTTCCACTCAAAAAGGCATTTACAACATGGTATAATAAATTATCTGTGCGGTTATTTTGAGCTGAAACTTCACAGACACGTTCTGGGGACACCTGAGACTTATTACATCTTGTAAAAAGGGGCATAATAGGTCCCCTTTAAATGAATAAATGGTCATCTAAATGTAATGTACGGGAAATGAGCATGAACAATTAAATATCCAATTTTCACCAAAAACCGATGTGGTATTGCTACATTGTGCATTCGTGATAAATCACATTCCTACTTATCAGTTCTCATAATACAACATGAATCTCTCTCTTGGAAGGTGGTTTGTATATTTAAATGGTCCTCCAAGCTGCCAAGATTCTATGAGACGTGGGCTAGGAAGCGAGGCCCTGAGATGTTCATCTTCATCATGACAGTGGTGGAGGTCTTCATCTCGGTTCTTCGCATGCTCCTCGACCCTCCCTTTCCATCTCAGGACTATGACTTCTACCATGACAGCATTGTTCTGGAGTGCAGTAAGACCCTGTCTCTCGGGGCCTTCGCCGAGCTCCTTTTTGTGTGTGTGTTGAGCTTAATTTGTTTCTGCTTGAGCTACATGGGAAAAGATCTGCCTGCCAATTACAATGAGGCTAAATGCATTACATTCAGTCTCATGATATACATGATTTCTTGGATCACTTTCTTTACAGCTTACTGCATTTCCAGAGGGAGCTTCGCCATGGCCCTAAATGTAGGGGCCATCCTCTTAAGTGTGCTAGGGATACTCGGCGGCTACTTTTTGCCGAAGGTGTACATAATCTTGATAAAACCCCAAATGAATACAACAGCTCACTTCCAAAATTGCATTCAAATGTACACCATGTCCAAGCAGTGAAAGCGAATAAGACTTTCTACTATGTCTCTCAACATTAGGATAATCCAATAGTGCCTTCTAACAATACAGAGCAACATAATCCCAGTTTCAGTCTTAGAAGGAGCCGATACTCTGATTGTCTTGGGACTGTGACTGCTTGGCATATGCGTAGCCAGTGGGCAGATCGTCAGAGAAAGCCTAATTGTGTTGGCTACCAAAAGGGCAGAGCAACCGGTTCGGCTGCCCTGCGTGAACACCTGTCATGTGCTCCGCTCTCATGGGTGCCCAGTTTCACTCCAAACAACTCTGAGAAAAGATTTAATTGGGCAGCTAATTTTGCAGATACGAGGACAGATGGTGTCACTTGTCCTGTTTGTCTTTAGTAAATCGTATTGCCCAAAGTTATCAGTAAATATAGTAAAAAATATAGGATAAATATGGGAACCCTTTACAATAAGGTCCCATCAGTTAACATTAGTTAATCCATTAACTAACAATGATCAATACTTTTGTTAGAGTATTTATTAATCTTTGTTAACGTTAGTTTATAAAAATGTACCTGTTTATTGTTCATTCATGTTAGCTCGGGTCTATTAAATATGATTAAAGTCAGAATGTAATGGAAGTTGCGATGGTCTTTTACGTATCTGAATAAAACACCTTCATGAACAAGAAAAAGTGTAGGGTGAGACTTGATTTTGTCCATCAGGAATTGATTGGATCGTTGGATTGTTAAGGTTTGCTATTGCTGTGATCTCATGAGAGTGACAATATGTCCCGCCCTCACGTCAGTACACACATCATTAGAAAAGAGAAGAGATGCCACTGCAAGAGGAGGGGAAGTTATTTTGATTAAAGATTATGAGGGCACAATGATATGCATGGATAAATAATTTATAATAGAGCAATATTCCATAAAAAGAACAGGAATTGTGTATATTGTGTTCTTTGATTTTAACAATGTATTTGTTAAATGTCTGTCTTGATCCCCAGTTTTATAGGACTTTTATTTTGAAGTTTATTTTCTGCACCCCTGTGATTTGTTCCTGTTTCCATTGCTGCCTTGCTTGTTTATCATAGTTACCCTTGTTTGCTTGTCAATTAATCACCTTCAGCTGTCCCCTGTTAGCCCCCTTGTTATCCTGAATATATATATACCGGTATATACTCCTGTGTTTGTTGGTCATTGTCTTTACGCCCTCTTTTGTAAAACTGTTGTGTTTGTTTCTGCCTCGTTTGGATTAGTGTTTTTGCCTGGATTTCCTTAGCCTTTTTTTTATTTATGTTATATTCCTTGTTTGGATTTCCTGTATTTGCACTCGTGCTTGGATTTACTCTGTTAATGTGTTTTCTAAAATAAATGTACTGCTATTTACCTCATCCCTTCTCTTCCCTGCCGAAGTAGGCTATTTTTTTATTGTTAGTTTCTACTAATGTAGTTAACTAATGTAAACTTATTGTAAAGTGTTACCTGAAAACTCACTTAAGATTGTATTTTAGGTTAGGTTGCAATTCGCTCTGTTGTGGAATATATTCCCGGCATTTGCAAACTGAAGCCCGAACAAGAAGAGTGTTTGTTAAACATTTTGAATGGAGGTGATGTTTAAATTGGAGAGAGAGGTGATTGTGTTATGTGACAAAGATGGCGTCTCCGGGGAGGTCACGTGACATTAATTGGCCTGTGGGAACTGCTGCGTCCCAATTCGCATACTATCCGTCCTAAATAGTATTCGAAAATAGAATTAGTACGTCCCAAATCGTAGTATGTTGAAATGAGTGTCCCAAAGAGACCCGGATGGTCTACTATATCCGGTTAGAATCCGAAGTGTAGATCGATGCGCACTCTAACGGCTGATATTGCCCACAACCCATCGCGCGTTGGACGAGGATTCGGTTAGAACTACAAACACGAATGAAAAGTGTTCAAAAACTACATACATGGAGGACGCGCGAGTCCGACGGTTATGTGGTTTATGCCGCGTTCCAGGCAACCTGTAACGTGTGTTTTTCCAACTCGTAACTGGGAGTACATCGTTCCAGGCAACCTGTAACCCGTGTTTTTCCAACCTTATACCCGTGAAAGTGCACTGGAACGGCAGTCAAACCCGTGACTTCCCATCCGTGAACTCGTACTAGATCGATGTACTCCCAGTTACGAGTTGGAAAAACACGGGTTACGGGTTGCCTGGAACGCGGCATTAGATAAAGGGGTTTGAGTGATTAATTATCAGTATCTAACCTGACGAAAATGTATTTATTCAATGTTGTCTACATTATTATATTGCATCTGCAGCAGCATTGTGAACTTTTGCAAAGATACGTTTAGCCATTAACTTTTAAATGCATTATTATATTCAAATTCCAAACACATGAGGAGAGTCTCCGCATGAAAGACCCATGACTGGCAGATGAACGTGCGACAACAATTCTCTCCGAAATGGTAAGAAGTTATATTAGATTGAATGGAGGATTTTAACTGTGACGAGATGATTGACAGGGCAGTTTACGGTGATAGGATGCACGCGACAGATCTGTCCGTTAAAGATGACGAAGTAGTATGTCCCAAAGCTTGCCTACTCTTTTGCTACACACTCAAAAGTATGTACTTTTTCTTCACAAAAAGAGTACATACTTTTAGGGCGTAGTATAAGTAGGCGAATTGGGACGCAGCACATGTATTACCAGGCTACTTTCCCCTGACTGTTCCGGGAAAATATTCAAAGCTTTGAAAGTGTCGAAAAATGGAAGCTTGTTTCCGCCACAAAATAATAAATAAATAAGGTAATTTCGACTTTTTATATCACAATTCTGATTTTTTTGTCTTCTATATCTCAGAATTGCATGATATAAATTTGCAATTGCGAGTTATAAAGTGATAATTGCGTGAAATAAAGTCGCAATTGCGAGTTTAGCCTATATTTCACAATTCTGACTTTTTTTTCCCTGCAATTGTGAGTTTATATTTGCAATTCTGATTTCATTACACGTAATTGGGAGTTTTATCTTGCAATTCTGAGGGAAAAAAGTCAGATTTGCGAGATGTAAACAATTGTTAGCTAAAAAGTCGCAAAATTTTAAATGTTTTATTCTGTGGAGAAAAAAAGATTCCATAGAAAACATCGCCATCTGGTGGTTAGTAAAAAAGCAGCCAAAAGCTTGTGAAAGAAGCTCCGTCAAAGAAAGAGGCCTCCACACATATGCCTCCAGGCTCCACACACTGCATTTCAATATTATGTGCGCGCGGGCGCGCGCGTGTGTGTGTTAAATCACTCTCTCTGGTCAATTAATTTACCCATTAAAGTGTGGCAATAAATGCCAGTATTAATATCAATATGATGGCTAATATGGACACAGTTGCATCATGGCAAGTAGGCCAGGCCTATTTTATTTTCCTGAAATAATTTGTGTAAGTAATGTTCATATTGTATGACTTGTATGACATTTAAAAATGTAATTGAATAGGTTTTATTCGTAAAATACGATCTGGGCTTCGAACATTCCTATACGCACACAGCACAGCAAATGGTGTATTATGGACAGAAGGTGAGGCAAATTCGTTTGTTCTCGATCACGTGAGCTTCACATTTTGCTGCCTGCTTGATACGTGCCTCATAGCCTACGTAAAATCAGTGTCACTAGTATTTTTGGTTTGTCCCTCTTTTGCTTTAAAGACAGCAGCACTCGAGATGCATAAACTTTACAAAGTTTGTGTAAAATCTGATGATCATGTTATCCAGCATGATTTGAAATGATCAAAAGAGCATCTTGAGCTTTAGGCTAATGTAAGAAAGATCAGACCGCCAAAGAGTCACGAACAATTTTACTTTGAATAGTGACTTAGAAATAGTATAGAATCTGAAATATGTTTTCCTTTATTTGTCGCAACGTTTCTTTTATTTACATTTTTTAAAATCCTAAAACTTTTTGTTAAGGTTTAAATTAAATTCTAAATCCCAGATTTTCCATGTAGACTTTTAAACTCTTCTGTAGCTCTCCTAATTTTTCACTAATGTCCAGACACACACACACACACACACACACACACACACACACTTGCATGAGCCCCTGGGAAAAGATAGTAGCCTATGAAAGGCTTGCTGAGTTGCTGTTGTTATAGGGAGGTCATCTCCATTGACACAGGAACGTGTGAGTTGGGAGCAGGGAAGTGTTTCCCACACTACTTTTCCATTGTGAGTGTGATATTCTCAGGAGGGGAGAACAATAGACGTGTGCCTGTAGAGGGAGGCTGTGTAATTGTAATTACTTGACATTACCCATCTGTGCTGGTATAAACCTAATATAGACAGTCCAGAGTTATTTGAGATTTTAAAGTAATGCATAGGCATAACGCATAATTAATGCATATCATATAAAATTTGACTATTCCAGCAAAATAATAAAAATAATTTCTGTATGCCTCACACACACACACGCACACACACACGAATCTGGTAAAATTGGCCCTCCAATCAAACTTTGTAAATTGTGAATGTTTTAAAGGTTGTGATATTTTTATATTTTATTATATATACTTCCGGAACACCTTATTTGACCTTACATCTTATTTGACAGAACTACATACATTTACAGAAAATCAATGGTTCACACAAGTTGAGAGATGGTCAATTAGCTCAGTTTACCTACAGTTAGTTACAGTAGATCTGCCCATTGCTACGTTTTTTTGTAATCCCTAATTTGTTAACGTAATTAACTTGTTAATTTATAGTCTCAAGTCTGTCTTTCCATAGTAGATGTTTTTTAAGCAAATGATTAAACATATTGTTCCAGTTGCTTGAGCAAAAAACAAACAAACAGGATCTAAATACAATCTGACTTTGAACAGATCACATCAGGGGTCTGTAGCATACAAACATTGATTCAATCTTCTCCCAAAACCATTAGTTGAAAATGTAGAATTTTATTAACAGAAAATATTTGATGTAAGAGCTCATTTGCTAAGAATAATAATAATAAAAAAATTGGTCAAGACAACGAACAGGATCCTTTATCAAAGGTACAACATGCATGCCTTACCTAAACAACAATACAGAAATCTCAGTGCAAACAGAAATATACTCTGAAAAAACTTTTAAGTACAATATCAGTTCAAAGGTCTGATACATAAAACTCCACTGGAGTCAACCTCAATTAAATATGCATACAAAAACAAAACAAGTTAAGTAATAATGTGGTAAAAATCACTCTAAGAGCTATAATACAGAAAAAGGCTGTACATAAATAATCCACCTCCTTCCACTGACAAACACATGTTTATCTAAAGTTTTTGTCAATCAATATGATGACAACACAAACATACACTTTGGAAATGCATATCTCCTACTTTGATGAGAGACGTTAATATTACTGTCCCTCAGGGTTTACAGTTCACACAGCATGTCTACCAGGGTCTCCAGACTCCACCTCTCCTGCTGTCCGGCTGCTGCAGTTTGGACGCGGGTGCTGCTGGAGCAGAGCTCGCTCGTTGGGCGCTGTGGAGGTGCTGGAGCTCCCGGCCAGATCCTCCTCCGGTGGAATAAAGAGTGAGGAAGTGGACAGACTCCCTCCAGCAGTGAGAGTAGCCTTCATTATAGTCCCTCTGAGGAAGCTGCTGCCACTGCTGTTTGAGAAAGCTGACCGTCATTTCCAGGATATCGGCCTTCTCCAGTTTGGTGCTGGGGTCATGGCTGTGGAACTCCTTCTCCAGAAGACTTTTGAGCTGGTCGATGCTGCTGTTGATGCGGTCCCTGCGCATCTTTTCAACAATTGGCTTCCTCGGCTGAAGGCAAACGGAAACACCTGTTAGAACATCTTTCAAACTGCAGTGCACACAGATTCAAATTGTGGGAAGAAGAACTGCATTTAAATTGAACATACCTTTATTTTGTCCTTATCACTGAAGCGAAGATGGTCAAAAGAGGAGAGTGTAGCTGAATG